CCAAGTTCCCCTTTAATAGCTAAACAAAACTTTGTCGCAACTTTTGCTAACATTAGCTTACATCTGAAAACTGTGCTGTCTCACACATATATGCTTATAGAACACTACATGTACTCATCCGACTGCATCCAGAAGACGATTCAAATGTCTTTTTTCACTTCAGATTATTTGCTCCTCTTAAACCATTTTGAAAACCTCCTCTTTGTTCCTGCCAATCTGACATTTTAGAAGTTTTCTCCCGACTGCGACGAAGAGCTGCAGCCAAATGTGATTCAGCACAAAGAGCCACCAAACAACCCACAGTGTGTTAAACAAAGACACAGCGCAAACAAACATTTCCTGTTAGACTTCACCTGTCGAGTCAGATGAAGTCAAATAAAAGCCTGCGCTGCCTCTCTGGAGGACCTTGCAGTCGGGTAGCAGCCGCTGTGTGTGTGAAGGCTCAATGAATGTGAGCAGCAGATGAGTCAGAGCTGAAGATCCTGCTGGGTTCAATCTAGCGTGGACGGCTGTGTCGGTACAGACTCATCCTCTCCGTCAGGGACCGGAGGAGGAAGAAATGACCACGAAATACATCTGAAATGATGATTCTACCTGTGGGGAACGCTACACTGACATTAATAATCTGTGGAGGTTTATAAGACTATAAAATAGCTGACTTTCTGCTGTTTGTCAGGAGTTTTTTAATTCATTCAACACAGTTTCTGCACTTAAATTAAATAATGTTTGTCTGTCACTCTGCTTCTGCTTTCTATTCAAGACATGTCATGTGTTTCTATTGTTTATGAGACAGACAGCGTGTCCCAATTATACTCATCTTAACCATGTTCACAATGGAAAATGTCAAAATGGAGTATACTGACAAAAACTGGCAGCTAATCAAACTAAAATCACTGGATTGTTTAATGTTCTGTTGATTGAGAGTGACTGATGGAAAAAGTTAAAGCCTCATATTAAATTTCAAACACGCAAAGGTTTCATTACATTTACATACAAAAAATATTCTGTTTCTGCTCTTATTCTGAAAAAAGCATACTCCTAATAATGTTTACACGGCTATTTTCCACAAATATTACATGCAGCGATCGCTGTTTGTCTGTTCTGGGCTACTGTAGAAACATGGCAGACTGCACCAGAAGAGGACCCGCTCCCTCTGGAGATAAAAACGTCTCATTCTAAGGTCACAAAAACACAAAGATTCTTATATTCAGGTGATTAAACACTAATGAAAACATCCCTATTAATATTATATCATATTTCTGACAATAGCTAAATGTTGCACACTGGACCTTTAAACTTACTATAAACTACAGAGACATTACAGCAGACACAGTGAACACTGGAGAGCCACAGATGCAGCATAAATCCTACATTAATAACACCCAGGGGCGGATCTAGAGGGGAGGCAGCTGCTGCCCCAGTTTGGTGCCAAATGCTCTCAAATTTAACATTTAAAAATAACATATTAAATATAATTTAATGATCTGATATGGACACTTTTTAGACAAAGTTCAATTAAAACTTTTTTCATTGGAAAAATGAAGTTTTGGAAATAAAACTATAGATTTATTTGTATCTAATGCCACCTTTAGATATTTCTAATCAGTGCTTTACTAATGTGCCACATTGATGTTTTTGAGTTCAAATATCTTCATTTGGGGGCTTTTCCAAACAAATACTGATATATGTGATTGTTTGTGATTAAATCTGAATATATTTCTGCACCACATGAATATTTCTGTATAGATCCGCCCCTCATACACCACAATTGAAACTACATCCAAAAATATGGAAGCCTGTAAGCCTGCCACCAGTAAAATAAAAACAAGAAATGTCTATTATCCCATAATTTAAACCTTTTGTCTCAAAATTTGCACAATTATGACTTACCTTGGGGATATTTTCATTATCAAGGTTTTTATTATTATTTTATTTTACTGGCAGAAATGGGCTTCCATACATATAGAATTAACATGGAAGTATTATGAAGATTAAAGCATCATTCAGCAGGAACACCATGTGAGCATAAAAATGTATAATTATAATTAATATAGAGACACACAGTGAACATTTTAATAATAATAAATTATTATTGTAATGTGACAAATAATCATTATTAAGATTCACAGTGATATCAGATTAATGACTCAGGCTCCGCTCCCTACAGAGAGCCACAGACACGCTGCACCTGTGAGATTATTATGGGATATTATAGGCCGACATATGTAAAGGGTCCATTAAAGAACAGGACGGAGAAAACTGACAACCAATAATGAATCAATGATCAATGTTATGTGAACACTATTGCGGATATTAGAGGACGAAACAAACTCTTCATTTAAGATCTGAGGAATAAATTGGCTCCATCAGCTCAGGTGTGACCGACGTTTCTGGACTCTTAGCAGTCAGCATCAGGCCTGTCTGTGTTCATTAAACCGGTGTCACCGCCGGTCATCCGTGTTTTCTGTCTGTCTGTCTGTGTGTCTGTCTGTCTGTCTGCCTGTGTGTGTCTCACCTCTGCTGGGCGGATCTGATGCTCTCTCTCTCTGCTCTGCACCTGATGGAGACAGCTCGCTCGGTGTCCGCGCTCCCACCCAAAAAGGAAACAATAATAAAAGCTCCACGAATGTGTCCACAACGATCCGATCCCCCGAGGGTCTGTGAGGAGCTCCTGGAGCACCGGCTGCGTCGTTCGCAGTGAGCTGAGTGGAATTTTTCTCTCCAGAAACGAGGTGAAATTGGCTGTAAAACGTCTCTTTTCCGCGACGCAGCCTCTTTACGCACCGGCTTTACGCTGACATCCTGCGTTGATTCAAGGTGGAGCGAAGCGATGTGGGAATATTTGCAAAGGCGTCTGCAGCCTGTCACCTCCTCCCCCTAAAAATAACCACCACCGGCGTCTCTGTGAATGAACAGCGTTTTATTTTTGCCCCTCCTCGACTGTTTGCAGGCGGATCCTTCGACCTATCAGCAGCCGCGTTTCTGCAGACGCGCAGCTCGTTCTGCTCGCTATGACTCATAACTGAGGCAGTGAGGCGTGTAATTGCTTCAGCATCAATAACAGAGACATCGGCATGGAAACAGAAAAAATCTGCTTGTTTGTGCTGCAACAGCAAACATATAACACACACACACACACACCTGTTTGTCAGCTTCTTCCTCCACAGCATCATTCTGCTGTTTTAATGTTGCTCCATCACTGAACTCAACCTGCCTTTATTTGGCCTTTAATTCCTTTTGCACAATCTCTGCAGCATTGATGGGAAATGTTACCAAACTGTTTATTTAAACCAGTATGAATATTTCTCATGTGCTTCTCTCTTGTGGATCGTGTTTTTTTCTGGCAATTTTTACACACATTAAAGTTAAAATAGTCTTCCCGCTCATTAAAATGGCCGATCAAATCAACCAGGAGGAGGGCTTTACTCCTTCACCACTTCCTTCCTGATTAGTTAGTTTACTATGGCAGTAAATATGTTAGCTAGTTAGCAGTTTGCCTGTGAGGGAGCTACAGAGCAGGACTGTACTGAGGAGTAAACTCAGTTCTCAACCTCTTTGAAATGAAGCCAGAGTTTATTCATCTAGAGCTTCAACACAGTTTTTCTGTTATTCTCATTTAATCTCCTGGTTGCAGACGCTGCCTCGTTCCACAGCAGCACCAGCACACTTTACAGAGCTGGTTCTGAATGGACTGAGCCTGCAGCGAAGTGTCTGTGTGATCGCCTGATAAATCAGTTTGTAGTCAGCTGAGAAACTGAAGTGACGCTTTAATTGAATCCAGGTTCAGGTTTTATCTTACAAGAAAATATTCATTGATTATATTTTCAGAAGCTGATATTGGTGGTAACATCCAGAAATGCAACTTATACATAAAATATAAACTTCCACTGTTATTAATGTGTAAATGAACTGCAACACTCCATCGTTCCAC